TTTTTTTTACCAATGTTACCTGACAATACAGTTTTGTGTAAAGAGGTAAAAGGTCTGTAGGATAGACTGATAATCAATTTAACCATTATGTATTTCTTATATTCACTTTTCAACTTTAATCGGTCATCAGTTCTTTTATATCAGGTTGGTGATAAATGGCAAATTTGTGGGATCTCTGAAGAATAACACCTAACAACAATTCACAGGTAAAACAGTATGAAAAGTGTAGCCTATAAGATTATGAAAAGAATCCTTATTGGTCATAATGCAATATTGGCCCATCTCTGTCTATAAAATAATTGCATGCCATATCTATCATGTCCATGCTATCTAACATGAATTAAGCTGATGGATGATTTTTAGGAAAACTCTGCTCTGATTTGGCATGTGGCCAGTGATGCTATTATTAAAATTAAGCAGCTATTAGTTATGACGGAAAATCATTCTCCAGATCTACTCTGAGAGAGATTCATTAGTGAAGAACAATAATTCGACTGTATTTGAAAGTAGAAAACCTGCTGCACCGCGTCCTCCAGCTTCTGCTGCGTGTCCTCCATCAGTTCCTCCTCCACCTCTCTGAACATATCGCTCAGCGGCGTTTGTCCTTCTTCTACATTTGTTACCATGTTTGAAATGATGTCCATGTCTGTTTTGGATATTTCGGGGACAATTCCATAGACGATGGCCAGGCACAGGCTGAATCCGAGCAGAAACATGTTGACAGCGCGGCTGGTCTCTGAACAGTGCGCGTCGCGACGCGTGCTATCAGAGGAGCTCCAGCTGCGCGAGGCGGGGCGGTGCGATGCGATGCGCATCCACACAAACACAAACCTCTTTGTACTGCATCTCTGGCTATACATATTTACTGCAAATGCCAGACATTCAGTGACTGTACGCGAATTTGACATGCAAATCAACTGTGACGCACAATTATAGTCGCCTATATTTTATTTATTTAATTCACAACTGGTTGTATTCCGTTTTTCTTAGTTTGCTGCATTTATTCTATATTTATTTGTGTTTACCTGGATATAGGCCTCTTTTTATGCAATACATAAAACATTTTATTATGTCTTCTTTTCTCAGGCGCACTCATTATTTGTCCCCTTATTAACTTTTTTTTTTAAAGGGGTCATATGATGCTTTTTTAAAGATCATTTGGCTGCTTCAACACTAACTGCGGTTACTGAAACCACGCCTTCTTTCTTTGCGTGAACATTTGGGCCGCATTATGCTAATATTTCCACATAGTGAGGTAGATATGTGGGGGCGTGTTAGAACGAGCAGTTTTAGGGGGGTGTGGCAGAGTCTTACCTTTGATAAAGAATATCTCTTTGGTTTTGAGACTTTAGTCTTTGCAACTTCAGGGATCTTATCTATGCACAATCAGCTTGTAACACTCCAAAGAGAAAGGAAAACTTGAAATCGCATCATATGACCCCTTAAATAATGTTCATGAGCAAATTAAGGCTTTGCAGAAAACTTTTGGCTTGCTGCGTGTGCATGGAAAAAAGTCACATTGGCCGAAATAGCAATGTTTAACAATAACGTAAACATAAGCAAGTCTTTTAAACCTTTTGATGTTAGCTATATTTGACCAAAGAAACATATGAGAGCATTGATGTAAAGTCGACAGATGTATGATTTTGTTTGCACTACTTTTTAACGAATCAATCTATTTAAAAAAACAACACTTTTTAACGAATCAATTCGTGATTCATGACTGACTGAGAATAGCCTATACGCTTCAGAAGACTCGAATCACCGAATGAATCAAAATCACCACTACTACATTGCATTAAAAAAATAATTGTTCTGTTCAGTTAAGTTCTGTTTCTGGTTCTCACAACCTGATCCCCCCCTATTTTTATGGCCAGTCATTTGAACTGAAGAACGAATCAGTCCAATTAGTGAATGAATAATTTAATCACAGATCCGATTTACGGCGAGACACTCCAGGTGAATAGGGTAAAAAAACAACAACTAATAGTCATGGCCTTACTTACCCAGCTGTTTGATTACATTGATAATTGCAAACATTTTTGTATTACATGTTTTCTAAAATGTTAGGTTTAAATATGCAAATGAGCCATTATTTAATGAAATATGGGCTAATTTGCATACATTTCTAGTACAAACTTCTAAACACTGGACTATGTCAGTTTCAAAATACTTGTTTAATTTTTTTGACAAGTTTTTACAGAGGGAATTTTGGGTATTTCATTTTTGTCACTCCTTAATTCAGAAAATGCTTAGAACGGATAGAAAACAGTATATTTTCACAATTTTGGAAGGAATAAAATGTTGTATATAATCAAGCAAAATATATATGAACAAATCCCTCTGTAACAAACCTTCAGGATATTTACAGGAATAAAAATGTAAAGTTTGGTGTGTGTAAGTGCTACTGAAGTGGAGGTTTGTGGCTCAGTGTAGGAGAACAAACTCATTTTGAGATAACGGCCTTTAAAAATATGTATTGTAATTGAAATCTATTGACACAAATAGATAAATTGCTATAAAAGAAACACTTACCAGTGTCTTTTGGATGTTTTCTTTCCACTAGTCTGAAAAAACACGTTATGAAAAACCAAAAAGCCCAAAATCTCAAATTTGACAGGTGCATGAAAAAACAGTGTTTTTGCCTGCAGTGTCTCCCCTTAAAATAAGTATTCGTTTCGAACTTTCATGAACGTAATTAATAGCCTACAAAATCTAAAGCTGTTCCTTCCCTGAGTCCACCAATGGTTGTGAAGTCATCAGCCTCAATGGTGTTGAAATTGCCACAAAGACCTGTAAATGGATTTGTTATTAACAAAAGCAGTCGAGGACAGAATTAAATGTGATAACATGAAGGAAATCCCACAGAAAGCCTTAGATAAAGATATACATGCATATTTATTCGTGGCCTAATGGTTAGAGAGGCGGACTCGTAACCCAAAGGTTGCGGGTTCGAGTCTCATACCGGCAGGATTTGTAGGTGGGGGGGGGTGAAGGGAGAGCCAATGCCAATAACAGACCTGTAAATGGATTTGTTATTAACAAAAGCAGTCGAGGACAGAATTAAATGTGATAACATGAAGGAAATCCCACAGAAAGCCTTAGATAAAGATATACATATAGGGGAAGTCGTGGCCTAATGGTTAGAGAGGCGGACTCGTAACCCAAAGGTTGCGGGTTCGAGTCTCATACCGGCAGGATTTGTAGGTGGGGGGGAGTGAATGTACAGCTAATGCCAATACCACGACTGAGGTGCCTTTGAGCAAGGCACTGAACCCTTAACTGCTCCCTGGATGCTGCAGTAAAAAATGGCTGTCCACTGCTCCGGGTGTGTGTGCACTTTGGCTGGGATAAATGCAGAGCACTAATTCCGAGGATGGGTCACCATACTTGGCCACATGTCACTTCACTTTCATATTTAATAAATATTGCTGCTTTTATTCAGAGTATTACATGAGAGGATTAAAGATAAGAGGTCTGTTTCTCCTTGGTGCACTGAATTGACTGTGATGTAAAGTTGCATTAATGGCACAAGCTGGATCTCTAGACGAAGCCCAATCAAATGGGCTTGAAAATGCTCACATCAGCTGAAAATCAAATAATAATATATAATTGCATACATTGGTAATCAGTAATAAAGCAGAAATCAAGCAGTTTTTGTATAAGCGATGTCCATGCTAACTTTTTTTCTGAACAATTATTCAAATGCACCTACACTATTTGAAATAAAGATTTCACGTTTCCCTGCATTCACCAAATGACCTTCCTCTGAAATGAAAGTTACACTAACATAGGTTATTCTCCAGTGTCACCCCGGTATAATATCTCTGTGGAATCACCGGTTGTAAAAATAAAACAAAAAAGTCCAAAATCCGTTTATTACAAAAACTGATTCAGTACTGGTATGCTTAAAAGTGTTGGTTTTATTATTATTATTAATAAAAAATATATATTAAAAAATTTCCCTTCTTGTATTTGTTGATTTGCCTACCTGTAAAAAGTGACATCTGGGCAATTATTCTGTTGACCTCAATATTTCCACTGGAATCCACCTGTATGCAAGGGAATAAAAAAATGTAATAAAATAAAAAAATCAATGAATGTTTTCTGTTTGCAAATGTTTAAGACATGAAGATTTAATATAAATGGCAGTGACATGAAAAGTGAGGAGCAGTTTCGTCAAGTTATGATAAAAGGCTGTTTTGGAAAACGTTAACTGTTTCATTTTTTTCAGTTCTTTTTAGTACTTACATTAGTTCCATCTAACAATGCCAGCGTTACTGACTTCAAACAGGTTTCAGTTTCAGTCACACCACATTTCACCAGGTCTCCTTGAACTGTGAATCCTGTGCCTGTGCATTGCTATTGAAAAAGAAAGAAAAATGGACAAGGTTAATTGACTTAACAAATCCATCTTTAAGATTACACTTCACTACCTGGCCAAGCTGTGATCCAGGAAGTCGGGGATAAAGTTTTGCACGGCATTCAATTCCTTGTGGTATTGAGCCGGTGGTTGAATAGGTGTCAGTGATGATTTTGACTGGTATAAGTTTACTGCCTTCAGGACCTTTTGTTGGTCTACCAAAATTCAACCATTTTGACCACTGACAAGTGCATGGCGGGGAAGGAGTAAGCAGGGGTGGTTTTGATGTCTTGTAGAAGTTGCTGAAGGTGTACTTGAAATTGTGGTTGTTGTTAAACCTGACAAAACATCGAAGGAGTTGTTGGTGTCGGTGTGGAGTTGTCACATTTTCCATGGCAGCATAATACCCTGATATTATAATCAAAGCATTGCTGTGTGATATCTTGATTTTTGTTCAAACACAGGAGCCCATCTTTTGCATTACAAATATAACAACCTGTCCAAGCTGCAAAAGAGAATGTCGAGGATAATGTTTTGCATGGCATTCCACCTTCTTTGGGGCTGAACAGAGGGACGGATAGGTATCTGTTATTGTATATTACACACTCTTGGTGGACCATACTTTCTGGGCACGGATGTGCTGCAACATACAAAAAAGAGGACATGCTATTCAGAGAGCATCAATTAAAAAAAAAGAATACAAAACTACAAGAAGAGACTATAGCAAGTTAGCAACCATAGGCCATGATCTAGATAGTCTAATGGTAAGACAAACATTTGCAAAGGACTAAAAAATGATGCACTTAATGACGAAAGGCATACTTACGGCAAAATGTTCACTTCAGGCTTTCCTCCCTGCGTGTACACACTGCCTTGAGTAGGACAGAAGGATCCAGAGGTGCCGTTGTAATGGCACAGGTCTTTCATGCAAACTTGGACAAATGAATCAATGCATGGACACCCGACCTCTGCAATCACTGAACACTGAACCGGAGAAGATATCACGGCAGAAATTCTGTGGGGAGTGAGAAGTCATACGGAGTCACATAAAATTATAACCAACAAACCAGTAAAATAATTACTGCTACAGCTACAAATGATGAAACCACTAATAATGATAATTCCAAAGGCTCCATGCTTCTGATATAAACCCATTCACATTCAAATGCATTTTTAAAAAAAAATGTAAATTGATTTACTAAACACAAATATATGTACCTGTGACTTGAACCCTGGATATCCTACATATAATATGTGATTCATAATATTAACTCAAGCTGTATGGGGCCCAATACAATGCACATAGCATAGTTTTTACGTTTTATGTTGCCACCTTATGCTAAAATGCTTTATTTATTTATTTTCAGAAGTATTAATCTTATTTAATAAATGGTGGGTAAAATGTGTAGTTTGGGACAAAAGGGACAACGAGTATGAACCAAACATCTTTAAGCAATGCAATTTCTGGACTGTAAGTGTGGGGTCTCTATGCATAAAAGTCTCTGCTAAATGACCACTTTTGTGCTTATGTTCATGATTTTTTTAACACTACCACAATACACGTGCTAAACCTAAATTCGCCACCCACTCCCAATTTCCTTGGACGCCCATAATTGACAAAAAAAAAAAAAAAAACTGAGAATACGCTTCAGAAGACTCGAATCACTGAATGTAACACTGAATCGTGAAGCGATTCAAAAACTCTTTTAATCACCCATTAATATATTTTACATCAGCTGTTGCCTTGCGTTAACCAGTTTTTATATAAACACATGAACTCATGTTGGGCAAACTGCGTGTTTTATCCACTGGGTGGCGCCATTGTCTACTTTGAATTGGACAACTAGAAGGAGTTCAGCGTCCAAACTTCAGCTAATACCACTGCAGGAAAGAGTTCATCGTAAACAATTAGAATAGTTAAACATGTACGCTTACGGATGGATGTTATCAGTGATTCTCTGGTTTATTGTTCACCATGTATGGTGCGTTAGCATGTATGAAAAAAAAAAGAATGAACTAGCTATCACCTATTGCATTGCTCAGGTGTTGTTCCCAACTCTGAGCCCCCCGCCAGATTATTACCCCCCTAGTATTGGAAGGTTTAGGATTATAGGCACTTAAAAGGAGGGGAGTAATAATTTGGCAGGGGGTCGAAATTGGGCACACCGGACGTCTACAGAGCGAGTGAAATGCCTTATCGTTGGATTATGTCAGCAGGTAATTTAGACCGTGATTTCATATAGATCCGTGTACACGCGAATAAACACTTAATTTAGACATTAGGCGCTGCCTCCACTCAAATACACAGAGCCAATAGGAAAACCCTACTTCGCGTGTTCTCAGACGTCATTTATTTGTTCCAGCTGTGGATGATAGCCAGTATATTTCGTCTCTTGTGAAAGAGCAGGTGAACTGATTGCGGATCTGACACACACACGCCTGCAGCTACAGTCACTGACTTTCACTTCTGACTGACCGGCTGTCACACGGAGTCTAGTCGCTGTACCCGTGCCTTCAGCCCCACAAGGACATACACTGAAAAGTAAGTGCCTGCTACTTAGTTTTTACAATAGTCATTTTGAGTATTTGTAAGCCTGTATTTCGTGAGCACAGTATTTGGTGTTGAATCGCTACGGTATAGTTTCTTTTGTTGAACAGAATCATTTCTATCCATTGAGTTCAATGGCAGGTTGTTTCGGTTCAATTTAACAAAACTTTTTTTTTTTTAAGTGTGTGTGTGTGTGTTATAGTAGGCTATATATTATGAATCAGCCACCAAAACATATCGGAGTCAATAAATCTGGTTCATTTATTGATTACTTAAATTACTGATCTGTCGGCGCAGCCATCCCTGTTGAAAAAACCAGCATATGCTGGTTAGGTATGTTTTTATGCTGGTCCTTTGCTGGTTTATGCTGGTCCTTTGTCAGCACATGACCAGCATAAACCAGCAAAAGGACCAGCATAAACCAGCTTAAACCAGCAAAGGGCCGGCTTAAACCAGCAAAGGGCCGGCTTAAACCAGCAAAGGGCCGGCTTAAACCAGCAAAGGGCCGGCTTAAACCAGCAAAGGGCCGGCTTAAACCAGCAAAGGGCCGGCTTAAACCAGCAAAGGGCCGGCTTAGGACCAGCATAAACCGGCTTAAACCAGCAAAGGGCCGGCTTAAACCAGCAAAGGGCCAGCATAAACCAGCAAAGGGCCCAGCATAAACCAGCAAAGGGCCCAGCTTAAACCAGCAAAGGGCCCAGCATAAACCAGCAAAGGGCCCAGCATAAACCAGCAAAGGGCCCAGCATAAACCAGCAAAGGGCCCAGCTTAAACCAGCAAAGGGCCCAGCATAAACCAGCATCCCAGCATCAAAACATACCTAACCAGCATATGCTGTTTTTTTTCAACAGGGATAGCTGACAACTGATGTAGTATAACCGATCAGCTGTCTTGATCTCAGAAGTCAGAAAGAGCTTTATTACCAAGTATGTTTACACACACAAGGAATTTGACTTGGCGACATGAGGTTCCAGTGCAGAAGAAAGTAACATGGTGCAAACATACATGATAAATAATGCACTATATACAGAAGTAGAAATATATAGAAACAAAATCTGACATATATTTTTAGTTTATTTCATTTGAGTAAGATTAATTAAAATAGTTTAGTAGGACATGTAAAAGAGGAAGCTGCTTCTCTTCTCCTTTTCTATTCAAACGTCCGTTTGACCTGTTTTTAAATGGCATTCTTTTCATTGTTATTTAATAATCAAATGAATTGTTATTAAGAGTGCGGTTACACACTTTCAAAATGCTTGTATGTATATTACTGGACATAGAAACACCAGCAGAGGTGTGAATTCAACAGAACAAAAGAGAGAGATGAAGTAGAGACCCCAGAGGTATTTTCACACTTAAAATGTATTAATATCTTAACATTTATAACAAAATATCAAACCAAATTTTTCAGGGAAGACCGCTACGTTTGTTCAAATGGTAAAACATTATTGTTTTAACAATTGAAAAATATATATTTGGACACTTTCTTGTCAAATGTTTCTGTCAAAATCACCTTGGGGCCAGTTGGCTTTAATGTTAAAATGTGACGAGAAAAATTCTACCATCATTTGTTTGCAGATGCCATTGTGTCTCTAATGAAAAGACAACCAGACATGTGTCTAGACTTTTTGGGGCCAGTATGTAATATTAAATACAGTCATAGTTAGTTTTGCACCTTGTTGCATCACTTATTAAAAATATTATCAAGTATGAAATTGAAAGAAACAGTATTTTCATTGTTTATTGTCACTGTTATTCATTTGAGCTTTTATTTTGGACCTTCTAAGACTCATCTTAACTTTTTATTGAAAATTTAACTGCTGTTCGCTCCATCTCAAAAGAGAGAGAGAGAGGAGGAGGAGGTAGAGAGATGAATGATTGGTTGTTCTCCGTGTGAGAAAGATAATACTCCCTTTAATGTTTCTTCAAGGCATCAGTGGCTTGTTCAGTAACCTGTACTTGAACTTGTGTAAAGTTTAGTAGATTTAACACCACTCGATTTTCACACAGTCTTCTTTGTCCGGATCTCATTGAGACTTTTAGAAATCTAATCCAGACAGTGAATATTGGAAAACTGGAACTTCACCCTTTTTTGTTTGCGCTCAACCTGAAGTTTGCTATCTGGAGATGACAATCAAGCAAAATATTAAGGTTGTAACCTAACTAGTCATCTCGGTAACAAAGAACCAATGCAGAATCTTTATTTTTAAGAGTGGCGTGAATATAATACATTTTAGTGCATTCAAAGGGTCAGTTATGTCTTTTTGGAAATAACTGTATTTGCAGTAGCACATTATTATTCAAAAAAACAACAATGTAAACCTAATAAACATTAGAATGAATCACAATGTCTATTATAAGATTATGCATATCTTTATGATGCACTGTAAATACAGACTTTGAGTCTTCGTGTAGTTTAACTCTGGTGAAGGTTGTTCTGTAACTAGTCCTGTGAGATTTGTGATTCACAGGACAGCCACAAAAACCGTGTCATCTTCCTCTGTGGATGAGCAATAACTTCCTGTCTTACAAAATTGAAAACATCTCTTTCCCTCATGAGGACATGATTCGCACGTCCTAATTATAATATTGTTTATTGCAAATTAAAGCAGTTTTTTTTGTTGCTATCCTATAAATTAAGGTTAAAATAAACTAGTGCAATTAATTATGACACAATTATTACGTCAGAGCAATTCAAGCTGCAAGCACCACCTTCATGTTTTTGCAAGCTTGCATAGTTAATCAGCAAATAATAAATATGATATGATTACATTTGGAATCGCTTGACACCCCTATTACACACTCGTTGAAATCACCTCAACAGATGTGATGCAGTCCTGTTTTTACAGTCCACATAGCATTCAACACTTTGAAAGTCTGATAAACATTCATTGCATTTCTGTCCGTTTGGCTGGAACTTCCTCAATAATGGTCCGATCTGTTGGCAACTATAGTGCAGAAGTGCAGCATCCCTCTGAAGATATTGTTTGGATCCGACACTGCCAAACGCAGTCTGCCAGTTGTGTGTCCTGCACACTATTTACTCCAACACCCTCATTTGTCAGAAGTTAGTCCATGTGTTACTGTTAAATAAGGAATTTCTACTGGGGAGGTTTGCCATGTTGATGTAAGCACCGACATAGTGTGGAAAGAATGCTTTTTTTGGCAAGACATGAAACCAATCAGGTTGTATGTAAATCTGGATGTCGGGCATCTGTTAAACTTTTAAATTTGTTTTTATACTCTGATCTGTTTAAACGCTGGCCAACGATGTCCCCTTATTTGGTGTGTTCACAAAAATGGCAGTTGATGACCCTTGTTAAGCCTTTTCTACTTTGCTGTTACTGCTGTTCATTCTTGGCGTTAGTTACTTGTAGAGTTGGGGATACTTGGACTCCAACTCGAACTGCGATTTTTATTAATGAACTTGGATTTGGACGGATTTTCACTCGAACTTGACATGGACGCAGACATTTTGGAGTATATATACGATTCCACGTCATGTGTAACATGAAAGATTAAAAAAAAAAAGAAGGAAAAGCATAAAAATAAGACTTTAATAAACATCTCCCACACAAACTCAATTGGTTAAGGACTAGGACTCGACAATGTGGACTCCGAGCCAACACTAGGGATTTGAACAAACCCCTGAAACAAATAATTTAGTGTGCAACTTGTCCAGTTACATTTGTGTCAAAGCCTGTTTCCACCACTGAATAAAAAAAATAAAGTAATTGAATCTTTTAATCTCACAATTCTGACTTTTTTTTCCCTCCGAATTGCAAGACGTATATTCGCAATTGCGAAAAATAAAGTCAGAATTGTGAGAGATAAACTCGCAAATAACCCTTTACAAAGACCCCCCCCCCCCCCCCCCCCCCCCCCCACCCCCTCCCCCCCTCCCCCCCCCCCCCCCCCCTCTCTCTCTCTCCCCCTCTCTCTCTCTCTCTCTCCCCCCCTCTCTCTCTCTCAATTTAAATTTCACAAAATAACAAAGTAACACATTGAAATAAACATGACATTTTAAAATAGAAAGACTGAAATAGTATTTTTTTTTGTAAAACATACTCCAGTAATCTTTGTTTTATTTCCAACTTTGAAAAACTTTTTTTTTTACAGTGAAGAATATAAAGAAAGAGTTACAGTAAGAACTTTACATAAGGGTCAACTGACCCTTTGGAAAGACCCGCCACCCTTAGTTACTGTTGCTACGTCTAACAAGCCATGGTGCTCTCATGCCACACATTATGTTCTCACTAGGTGAAAAATACATTGTGGAGCAAAGAGGACACTGACAACGCGCTGACAGACAAGACCGAGCAAGCTACTTTTGGTATTAAACAGTCTCAGCTTTGGATTTTCTTTTTCTTTTTTTTATTTCTTTTTTTTATAAAGAAATTCAAACGGTAAATAATGTTTTGTGGCTCTTTAATGTGTCGTGACAGATCACTGCACTGTAAAAAATGACCATGAATTTAACAGTAAAAGACTGTAAAAATGCTACAGTAAAAACCTGTTAAATGGTTAACGAAAAATTCCCCTACTATACACGGTGAAAAACTGTATTGGACATTACATGTAATTTTACGGTAGTATACCGTTTTTGGAAGTGAAAAGGACCGTATAATTTACAGTGAATAACCGTAAATTGACATTCCCTGAGTTACATTTCAAATTTGATGTTTTTTTTTTTTTTTTTTTTTTTCTTATCAGTTTTGTATATTAGGTTTGTGTGTTACACCTAATGTTGTTAAATTAGTGTTTATTGCATTATTTCCGTTTCATGTGTTACCATGATGGTGTTTAGTGTTTGTGTGAATGAGACCGTGCACCTTCTAAATATGTTATTATTTAAAAGCTGCTTGTGATGGGCTTTGGTTCATCATGTGACTTTCTCATCACCACCTGCTTTTGGTGGTTATCAGTGTATTACAAAGGTACAAAACAGATTTCAGTACTTCAGTAGGTTGGTATATTAACATTATATCAGTTAA